GAGGTCTCGCCTGCCCAGGCGGGTCTCAAACCCGCGGGCTCAGGCAATCCACTCACCTCAGCCTCCCAAAGGCGTGGGATTACAGGCTGAGCCACCGAGCCCGGCTTTTTTTACCTCTCAATTTCCTCATGTGTAAACCACTCCGTTCCTCTTAACCTTCTGTGGGTGAGAGATCTGGCACATCTCTGCCCTGGTAAGCACTGCGGAGCGTGGTTACATTACGTGTTCTCTGGCTGCGGGTGAGGCCTCTTCTGCCCTGCCCATTTTCACTTCAGCACCACTTTACTTTCTTAGATTGCTATGCCTGGAGTCTCATAGTAGGCCTGTGAGGCTCTCCCCATTTTACAGGTGAGAAACCAAAAGATGGTGAGCACAAGGTAAAAGGGAGAAGCAACAGATGGTTTACAGGGGCCCTGCAGGCTGTCCATGGGCTGATCCAATGGAGACCTTCTTTTTGGTATTTGTCATTTCTTTATCAGTCATTTTGATAATACATACTGATGGTAATAAAAAAATAAATAAAAGCCAGAGTTTCACACTTGTAGTCCCAGCTACTTGGGAGGGTGAGGTGGGAGGATCACTTGAGGCCAGGAGTTTGAGTCTATAGTACCCTATGATTGTGCCTGTGAATAGCCACTGAACTCCCCTGGGCAACATAGGAAGACTGTTTCCAGGAAAAAAAAGAAGAAATCAAACTGAATAAAACATAGAAATTGAAAAATTTTCTTCTTTGCACCCATTCCCATTCTCCCAGAAAGAACTCATTTTTATAATTTGTAGATAATACATGCATATTCTTAATAAGTATGTATGTATGTGACATATATATGTATGTATATGTATTTTAACTTCTAAATCAGTTCATATGACTCTTTTTATTTATTTTTTGAGTTGGAGTCTCACTCCGTCGCCCAGGCTGGAGTGCAGTGACACACTCACGGCCACCCCAGCGTTGACCTGCTGGGCTCTGGTGATCCACCTCTGCCTTCCCAAGGAGCCAGAACTATAGACATGCGCTACTGCACCTGGACTGGTCTTGAACCTGCGGGCTCAGGTGATCCAATCGCCTCGGCCTCACAAAGTGCTAGGATGACAGGCTGAGCCACTAAGCCTGGCCTACTCTTTATTATTTTTAACATCATTCACTGGTTCTCATTTTATTTTTATATTTACAAAAACATTTTCTTGAGATAGAGTCTCACTATGTTGTCCAGGCTGGTCTCAAAATCCTGGGCTCAAGCGATCCTTTCTCCTCAGCCTCCTGAGTAACAGGGAATATAGGTGTGCGCCACCTCACTGACTTCTCATTATTTTTAATGACTAGGTAGTATTTGGTATAGAGATCCAAAATTTAATCAAAAGTACCTATTAAAGAACAAGTACCTTTTTCTTGATTCATTTTCATTAACCCACTGAATTCATATTAAAATGTATAAAAGAAATGATTTGAAAAATAGAATGATAATTGTTGCCAAAGCAAAATCTTTTCAAATCATTTTGTCTCAGTCTACCGGCATTAGGCCCCTGATTGCGGTAAGAGGAACTGGGATGTAACTTGGATGTGACTGTCTTTGCTCATGTGTCTTGTGTCATACTGTGGTCTAATTTTCCTAAGTGAGATCCTAAAATACCTGACAACGGGAACGTTTTGTGCCCCACTGGCTCACATACTAACGGAGGACCCCCTTAATTTGAAAGCGATTACAGATTCGCTGTCCTGTTCAGGACCCAAATGCTAAACTGACTTGGTTGAAGTTGCTTTACTGGGCTTTTCTTTGTGTGTTGCTGTTTATAGCTGGAGTTCCAAACTTGGAATTAATTTCCTGGTTATCGAGATTTCATAAACCCTGGAGCTATAATCTCAACAGTATGCATAGTTTAGTGATTACCAACTCTGTTCTCAAGAAACAGTAACCCTTTGGAGGCCCTGGGGAGATTGCGAATAGATTACAGAATCAAAGGTCATCCCTGCTGCCTTGGCATTTAGATGTCTTGTTAAAGAGAAGCTTCTGATCCCACACCAGTCCAAGGCACTATCCAGTCCTTCTGAACCACCAGTTCTGAAGAGAAAAACATTTAATGCTCAGGGGTCGAGTCCCCCTGTGTTTTATTTCAGTCTTGGAACTTCACCAAGCCTGTTCTAATTAAATGTAAATAACTGGAGTCCTTCAGGCCACACCCTGGAAATACACCTTTATTGAGGAAGAGTTTGAAGGATTCTGTGGTTTCGGTCTGAGCTCCTCTTGCCCCTCTCTGTTGGTTAATCTAAGGAATATGAGTATTTCCCAGCCTCTGTCTTTATTGGCAAGAAATTGGCCCGACCAGCATCATGGGCCACCTCTTGCAGAAACCACAAGAGGTGGTTCTCCAGTGGGAACCCTAGTTCACCCTTCAGTATGGACGGAGCAGCAGTTGAGTGGTTCATTCGTTCGTTCCCAGAACATTGCAACAGCATTGCTTTGTTTTTTGGAGTTGAAGCCTCACTCTCCTTTCTCTTGTGGCATGCTCACAGCCGCCGCCGCCACAGCCTCGACCTGCTGAGCTTAGGTGGTCTTTCCATCTCAACCTTCCAAGTAGCTGGGACCAAAGGCATGTGCCACCATGCCTGTCTGATTTTTTGATTTATTGTAGAGACCGATGTCTCTCCATGTTGCTCAGGCTGGTCTCGAACCCCTGGGCTCAAGTAATCCTCTCGCCTCTGCCTCCCAAAGTGCTGAGATGACAGATGTGAGCCACTGTGCCTGGCTGCATTAAGTGCAAATAATCAAGATTCCTGGTTTAGCAGCAGTCTAAATG